TTGCTAGGACGTTTGGGAGAAGAGGTGCAGCTTCGGCTATCCAGCCGACCCTAACCCTAACCCACGAAGATTTGTACTACTTGTTCAAAAAGAGAAAGAAAGAAAAAAAAACCCAGTATCATGACATTCAGAATCTCTTTTATACCCTTCATAGTGCTCTGCCATAGTTTCTGTTGGAGGACTGATCTGATCCACCAACCGTGGGACTAGATTGGGAGCTCTGGGTGTGCGGCAGACTTGTTATTTGGAGCTTGCGGCTGTCAACGTTGACCTGTTTCGCTTAGAGGTTAGTCTCTGCTCTTATTTTCCTCATGAAATTATTGATTTTTTTTTTCTTTGTTTATTTTTCAATAAATTTGAAATTAAGATCTAAAAATCATATTGATTATATTTTCTATCTTTTTTTTTTGCTTTTTATTTTTTTTAATTCCAAAAGTTAGTGAAAGGAGAGAAGCTGTTCTGTTCTTTAAATTCTATAAAGTGATGATCAAAGACATTAAGACTTAAAAGAAATTAGTTAAGTTGCAGTTGAGAAAAAGAAAAATCATTCTCTAGTCGAGGAGGATGAGGGGGGATGTTGTTGACGCCTTGAAAAAATGCGCGGAGGCGCTTCAACAGGGGAATCGGAGGCTTGCAAATGCAAAGATGGGAAGAGTTCTTGATCTTGCTGAAGAGGAAACGATGGCTACAACTAGCAGATTGATCGGATATTTTGCACAGGCTCTCGCTTGCCGAGCCTATGGAATTCATCCTAAATATTTTTCATTCCCATCACCTGACTGGAAGTATTGGATGTGTTACTGGCATGGCCTTTTTTCTACTGTAGGTTGGTATGTTTCAGCTGTCGTCAAGAGAAAATGCAAAGTCCATGTTATTGAACTTGTCAAGCACATGGATGGTTATAAGCAATGGGCAGATATTTTTAGTGAGACTAAGGACTGGGGTGACCTGACGCATTTAAGGTTAAGTTTCCTTGTACAAGGAAAAGTTGAATTTTCGAAAGAAAGTGAGGAGAAACTTATTCGGGCTTCTAACAACCGCCACATTGAGTTGGAATATAAGATTATTGCTGTTAACAGTTTCGCTGACATTGATGTGTCTTTGCTGGAGATGCGGGATGGCGAGTTTGTGGTTGTGAA